CCCATGCTAAATCCCGACAGGAGGGATAAACGCAAGCTGACAAGAGAATCTCAAAGACCTCTTCTGGGACTGCTTGGGCGTGGAGGGAAGGCGTGTTCTGTTGGGATCCCGGCTTTGGACTCTAACTTGGGAATGGAAGAGGGCTCCACGGGGAAGGGAGGAGTCATGGTCCTCCCCTCCTTGCCCTTCCAGGTCCTTGGCTCTGTAGACTGGGAAGGACAAGAGTCACCCTTGCAGGGTCACCCTCGAGGCTCTGAACCAGGCCTCCTCAGCCTCGGCATTGCTGAGCCTGAGCAGTGGGAATTCTTAGTGGGGCGTGGGGCTGTCCTGAGCGCTGTGGGATCTCTCTCTAACCACACCCACCCCCAAGGTAAGAAGGGCATGATGGGAAGAGCTAACTAAATGAAACCAGGTGCTAACGTGGAAACTATGCAGCCAGGCCCCAGCCTCGCTCCAGTGCCCGCGGAGTTAGTCACTCAGAGCCTGCCTGACTTGGCCCCTGGGAGGGGCAAGGCAAAGCCAGGCCAGAGCTCTCTCTTCCTCCTTCCTCCTCCTCCCGCTTTTCTTTGTGTTCTCTCTCTTGATTTCCTTTTATTATTTTACTTACGTGTCTGTGTGTATGCCACATGTAAACAGGTGTCACAGAGTCCAGAGGAGAGTGTTGGATCCCTGAAGCAGTTGTGAGCCATGCAGCATGGGTACTGGGGACCAAACTGGGGTCCTTTGGAAGAACATTAGACACTCGTAATGTCTGATGACCGGAATGTAACATTTTTGATGAGCCATCTCTCTAGCAACCTCCTCCCTTTTCTTTTTTCTCTTTGTCTTTACTCTCTTCTTTTTCCTCTACCCTGAACTGTCCTTCTGCCCCAGTTTCTGTGAGAGCCATTCTCTGGCTGTGTCAAGGCTCAAGGCCCTTGCATGTGGTAGCAGCAGTATCTAGGGCAGGGCCCAGAGTAGATGGGGACCCAGAGCAGGTGGGCCCAGAGCAGGTGGATCCAGAGAGGTGAACTCAGAGTAGATGGGGGCCCAGAACAGGTGGGTCTAGAGCAGGTGGGTCCAGAGTAGATGGGGGCCCAGAACAGGTGGGTCCAGAGCAGGTAAACTCAGAGCAGTGGGCCCCAGCAGGTGAACTCATCCAGAACAGGTGGGCCCAGAGCAGGTGAACTCAGAGCAGGTGGGTCCAGAGCAGATGAACTCAGAGCAGGTGGGTCCAGAGCAGATGAACTCAGAGCAGGTGGGTCCAGAGCAGGTGAACTCAGAGCAGGTGGGTCCAGAGCAGGTGGGTCCAGGCCCTGGGCTGAGGCAAATAGTGGAGTCTGTGTTGGAATTCTGGTTGTGTATATCAGTTGTGAGACTTCTGAAAAGTACTCTGTGCCTTGTCACAAACTGTGTGACAAACAGCGTGAGCTTCAACTGATGATAGCTTAGTATCCACGAGCTTCTGTTTCAACATCTGAAAAATGGGGTTAACATCTCACTTTTCTGGAGCTTTGGCAGAGGTGAGTGTCACTTGAGTGACAAGTGCTTGCTTGGTACTTGGTAGGTGTCTAAGTGACTATTCTATTGCTGTGAAGAGACACCAGGACCAAGGGAACTTAGAGAGGAAAGAGTTTATTGGGCTTGCTGTTTCAGAGTGGCAGAGTCCATAGCAATCATGGTGGGGAGCATGGCAGGAGGCCAGCGGGGATGACACTGGAGCAGGAGCTGAGAGCTCTGTTAAGACAACTGCTGACTGGGATGGCGTGGGCTTTTGAAACATCAAGGCCCACACCCAGTGACACACCTCCTCCAACATAGCCACACTTTCTGATACTTCCCAAATAGTTCTATCAACTGGGGACCAAGTATTCAAATATAAGAGCCTGTGGGGGCCATGCTCACTCCACTACGGTAGACGCTAGACTCTGTCAGCAGAGCGCATTATCCTTCCTGCTCTGGGGTCTTGGTCAGTCCCCACACCATTCTGAAGCACTTTCTGTTGTCATCCCTGGTGCCGGTCTCCTGAACTAGTCCAGGGGCCGGAAGGTGAAGATGCTAAGTCCCAGGTTACAAACTGAAGGAGGAGGTCATGATGCTTCCAGAGATGACTTCTCTTGGTTTTGCTTCTTGAGGGAAGGATGGCTTGGGCATCTCATCTTCCTGTCTGCATCTCCCAAGTGCTAAGATCACCAATGCAATCCGCCCCCTGTGCAAGTTTACAACTTCTTTTTGTTGTCAAATATTGATTTTTATTATGTGTAGTGTGCATGTGTGTGTGTGTGTGTGTTTACATGTGTGCGAAGGTGCCTGTGGAGGCCAGAAAAGGGTGTCATAGAATCCTCTGGAGTTGGAGTTACAGATGGCTGTGAGCTGTCGGGAACAGAACTTGGATCCTCTGGAAGAGCAGCAAGTGCTTTTAACCACGAAGCCATCTCTTCAGGCCCAACGTAGAACTTTTTTTTTTTTTTTTTTTTTTTTTTTTTTTTTTTTTTTTTTTTTTGGTTTTTCGAGACAGGGTTTCTCTATGGCTTTGGAGCCTGTCCTGGAACTAGCTCTTGTAGACCAGGCTGGTCTCCAACTCACAGAGATCCACCTGCCTCTGCCTCCTAAGTGCTGGGATTAAAGGCGTGCGCCACCACCGCCCGGCCCAACTTAGAACTTTTTAGAATTGTGTGTATCTACCTTAGTTCATCCTAGAAAAGGACAGCTTCTTGGGAGTGTGAGCGGGTCCAGGTCTAGCTGCTCACTACAGAACAGGAGAGTTCCATCATGAGGCAAGATGCTGAGGGACAGAAGGTGTTTTTATTTAAGTAGCTAGCTCAAGGAGAAGACAGGACTCATGTCCAAATTTCATCCTGTTGGGAGACTGGTTTATATAGGTGGTTGGTGAGTGCCTTACTCAGTGGGGGATGGGGCGTTGCCTTCTCATGGTGGGCTGGCCAGCCCTCATCCATAGTAATACCTGGGTACTTTTCAGTTCTGCTGATATTAAGGCTCTTTGTGCCTCTGATCGAATTGCCAGCATGCAGTTCCCAACATAGTCCACAATAGATGGTGGGGCCCAGAGAGATTCTCTCTCTGGTCAAAGTTAAGAACGTGGAAAAAAATAACCTTCTTAGAATGACTATGGGAGCCAAGGCTAAGTGAGGTAATGGGGGTCTGTCCAAGGTCCAGTGTGGTGCTCAGCTTTGGGAGTGGCATAAGATGGGGTGGGAGCCGTGGCAGGTGTGGGACAGCATTCCCTGAAGAGGAAGGCAGTCAAGAGAGCTACCTGCAAGGGGAAGACGGGAAGAATTTCAAAAATGAACACGGGGCCTGGGAAACAGTTAGTAAATCAGATACAAAGCGTTCCCTCCTGACTTGAGCACAGACTTCTGTAGGAGGCTCCACCTTCCCTAACTCCATCGTCAGGGCTTCTTTTCTGAGCCCCGAGGCTGGGCAGAGAGAAATGGTTGGTGGTTGAAGCCCCAGAGACAGAATCCAAGTGCCCTGATGCGCCCTCGTGGGTGGTCACATGCAGGCAGCCCAGGCTTTGGACTGGACTGTCATGACTGAAAAATCTGTAAGAAAAAAGGAACTTGGGTGGTAGAGATAGGGGGATCAGGAATTCAAGGCCACCTTTAGGCCACCCCATTGAGTTTGAGGCCAGTCTGGGCTACATGAGAACACAATTCAAAAAGCAAACCCAAAACCAAATCAATAATCAAACACATAAATAAATAAAATAGACACCTGTTTCCTGGAATTTCAAGGAGCAAGGCAGTTCCATCATAGGAGAGTCGAGAAGGGTGATAACAGGGATAAAGAAATGTCAGTGCAGGGGCTGGAGAGATGGCTCAGGGGTTAAGAGCATTGCCTGCTCTTCCAAAGGTCCTGAGTTCAATTCCCCAGCAACCACATGGTGGCTCACAACTATCTGTAATAAGATCTGGTGCCCTCTTCTGGCTTGCAGGCATACATGTAGACAGAATATTGTATACAAAATAAATAAATATTTAAAAGAAAAGAAATGTCAGTGCAGTGTGATCAACATGGCAATGGGGGACTCCTAGTGGCAATGGGGGACTCCTAGATTGGGGTGGGCAGACCCCAATCAAATAAGCGCAAGGTGAGGGAGAGGTAGGCGTAGGTAGGAACGATCCACCCTTGGTAATAATGAGAGATTCTAAAACAGAACTGGGCCAGCGGCTTGGAAGGTGGACTGCCCTATATAGAATTCAGTTAAGGTGAACCTACATTTACTTTAAATGCTTTGGTCTGGAGCAAAGAAACAGGATTTTCGAGGCTTCTATGTCACGGGTAAGGGATCTTCCTACAGACAGTAAGCAAGCGAGCTTTGCTGGCCTGTTCTGATGGAACCCCTTAATGATTTGGGAGGACAGGTATAATCTGGGTGACAGGTAGCCCAATGTGGCAGAACGCAGGTGGGTGGAGGGACGGGAAGGCTGGAGAGCTGGTGCCACATCTCTGTTGAACGTCTTGCATTCTAGGCTTGAAGGTTTGGGATTTGTTTTCCAGGTAGTAGACACAAAACATGCTTTGATGAGAACAGCTGGGTTCTGTGGCTGTTAACACAGAAAGTGAACTCTGGAGTGACTCGAGAAGACAAGAGGTTGAAGGGAGAATGACTGAAGTGGATGCTGGGCTGAGCCCTCAGGAGGATGAGGATGAAGGTTGATAGGATCAGGAGCACATCTCCAGAGGCCGTGGGGAGGAGTGACGATTGACTGTAGGAGGGGGAGGCACTGAAGCCAGCATCTGGGTTCCCAGTCTTCTGACCTGGCAGGTGTCTCTGACAGTTAGGCAGACGTCCACAGGAGCAAGGACCAGGTGAGGGGACTTCAGGGCTTTCCCCTGCTCTAGAGACTCTGGTACTTGGCCAGCAGAACTGTGTTCCAGGATGGCTCTGGGATCTCTGCAAGGGGCCCATTCTCCTTCTTGTCCTGGCTTTAGCAAATCACAGTCCGAGTCCCCAGTTTTCAGGCCTGCCAACATTCTCCTTCATTCTCTCTCCTCAGGACTCACAAAAATCCTCAATCCCCAGCCATGGGCAAAAGATGCCATCAGGCAAAACTGTGAAGAAGGCGTCATCACCGCCCTTGTCACAGACGTGGAAACGAGACCGGGAGCAATCTCTGGCGGCAGCCTTTGTACCTGTAGTGGTGGATCCTCGGGGGCAGAACCCGGATAAATGCAGGTTCAATTTCTACACCTCCCAGTATTCCAACTCTCTGAACCCCTTCTACACCTTGCAGAAGCCCACCTGTGGCTACCTGTACCGCAGGGAGACTGACCACACCCGCAAACGTTTTGACATTCCTCCAGCAAATCTGATCTTGTGGCACACCTAGGTCCATGACGTCTGAAGTCCCCACCCTGCACCTTCATCTCCCTGCTCCTGGGTCCCAGAGGGAGGGCCATTCGTTTCTGGAGGAGCAGGTAACACCGCCGTTGACAGCAGAGGAGGCTTCTCAACAACAATAAACTTTGTTCTTCCTTTTCCTGGCCTCAATGGATAGGATTGTTAATGGCGAGTGTATTCCGGGGGTAGGGGGCTGGAGAATTGGAAGGTTTTACTCTCAGTCCTCTCCCCACCCCAGGAGTATCCTTCTCCCAGGTCCAAGTGTCAGTTGTTTCTCCCCAGCATTCCCGTGGGTCACACTTGCGATGCCGCCAAAAACTGGCTGTATACACCCTGCTTTCTCAGGCGGTCATCTTACCCCGTGTTTACTCAGGGTCACGCAGTGCTCAACAAGGATGCTGCAAACTTAGCCACATTGCTAATTGTTTCTGGATTATCTTTAAGACAGGGTTTCTTTGTGTAGCCCTGGCTGTCCTGGAACTCACTCTGTATACCAGGCTGGCCTCAGACTCACAGAGATGCACCTGCCTCAGTCTCCTAAATGCTAGGATTAAAGGTGTGCCTACCACTGTCCCAGACTCCTTGTTTCTGGCTTTTTGAACCAAGAGCTTTGCTGTGTAGAGCAGGCTGGCCTTAACCTCACTGTGTAGAGCAGCCTGGCCCTGACCTTACTGTGTAGACCAGGCTGGCCTTAACCTCACCTGTAGCTGTAGCTTAGGCTGACCTTGAACTCACAGTCTTCCTGTCCCAAGTGCTGGAATTACAGAAATGTACCTCCATCCTGGGCTTCTGACTCATGGCTTTTGCTGGGGGTTGAATCCCCCATTTCTATTCTCTCATATGGTTCAGAACAGCTAAGTATAAGACTTGCAAGGTTTTTGTTTTGGGGGGGGTGTGTCCTAGAACTCAGTCTGTAAACCAGGCTGGCCTTGAACTCAGAGAGATCCACCTGCCTCCGCCTCCCAAGTGCTGGGATTAATGAGGTGTGCCACTACCATTCAGCTAAGACTTGCAAGTCTTATGGGCCAATGGTCATGGAGGGGTGGGTGAAGGCAGAGGCCACTAAGCCTGTAGTGGAAGACCCTATCTCAAAAAAAAAAAAAGCAAAAAACCAAAAAGCATAAAGAAAACAAAACCAAACCAACCAAATACACACACACACACACACACACACACACACACACACACACACGCTCTCTCTCTCTCTCTCTCTCTCTCTCTCTCNCACACACACACGCTCTCTCTCTCTCTCTCTCTCTCTCTCTCTCTCTCACACACACACACACACACACACACACACGCACTCACGCATAGAACCAGACAGACACACACATCCACAGACACCCACAGAGCATCTGCGCAGTTCATTTCCTTTGCACCGACTTTTGTCCAATCTTATTATGACTCTCACATTGCATATCCCAGGGTCGACTCCTAGACCTCTGTGGCGGATTAGATTGGAGTTTGTACACCCCTGTGCTAGGCCAGCAGTCTTTTCCTCATTGAGAAAATGGAGGTTCCAACATTCTCCACTCTAATAAACCACCGTTTTTCCAGCTCCCCCGAACTTTCTGTCTGTCACATTTGTTTGAGGTGGGGTCCCGTCTTGTAGCCCCAGCTGCCTGGATCTTGCTGTGGCCCATACTGGACTGGAACTTGCCTTCCTCCTGTCTCGGCTTCTCCTGAGTGCTGGTATTGCAGGCACCTACCCCCATGCTCATTTGTCTGCTGTCTGCCTTAATCTCTTGGGACTTGTATTTTTAAAAAATCATTTATTGCAGTTTTTGTGAAGTTTGTAGATGCAGCAGAGATAAATGCTGTGTTCAGTCTTTGTATAATTAGAGATCATCATCATTTATTTATTCATTAAATTAGTATTCCCATAACAGTGAGAACTGGGTTTTCTTTTAGAGGCAGGGATACAGCTAGAATCATCTATGCCTTCCCAAACTCCCTCAGTGGGAGTTTAATTCCCAAGCCAGAGCCTCTGTGTCCCCTGGAGCCGCATTTTGGCAGCCTAGTAGCCAGGGTCGCCCTTTAAAGAAGCTGCCCGTGCCGTGGTCCTAGCGGGAGTGGGCAGGTGATTGACAGGATTAACAGTTTGCTCAGGATTCTGCAGGTCACTCGGGTCAGAGTTCATCCAGTACCCTGGAGGAACCCTCCTGTCTCCTCCAACCCAACTTTGGCCTTCCTTCTGCCCACACCTCTTGGCCCATTTAGCTGTAAAAGTATGCATACCAGCATGGTGTCCTTACGGACAACCCATCCTGATTCTCTCCATGCCTTTCTGCAATTACACACGTGCCCCACACTTCTCTGTTTCTGTAATCGTGCACGCCTGCGTTCTTCACACCAACACCCCTTTCTGCAGCCACACTTGCATTCGTTCACACTTCAACCCTTTTTGCAATCACACATCTGCACACTTGTTGCAATGAATTTGATTGACAATCTATTTGAGCTCAATATCCTCTCAAATGTTAATCTGGATCCTGGTCTGGCGGTGCAGGCCTGTAATCCGACCTATGCACAAGGCAGATGCTGGAGAACCAAGCTGAAGACCAACCTGGGCATTTTAGTTAGACCTTGTCTCAAATAAAAAGTAAAAAGATCCTGGGGAGGCCACTCAGTGGTTGAGAGCTTGCCTAGCACTTGTGAGATCCTAGGATTCATTCCAGTTAAACAAATCAAAATTGACAGGTCAAGAGAGATGGCTCAGGGTTGAGACTACTGACTGCCCTTTCAGAGAACCCCACTGGGTTCCCAGCACCCACACACTAACAACAGTCTGTAACTTCGGTTCCAGAGAATTCAACACCCTCTTCTGGCCTCTGTAGATGCAGCACACAAACAGTACACAGACATGCATGCAGGCAAAACACTGGTACATGTAAAAACAAAAACAAAAAAGCCAAACCAAACAAACAGAAAACCCACTGAGGACCCTTGGATGACAGGTCTGAGCACAGGGCAGTGGGCACGGTTGTGGAGTGGTGATGCCCCCAGCAGCAGCAGAGGGACACAGCAATCTGCTGCGTGAAGGGAGGAAACTGTGCCACAGGAACTCAAAAACAGAGGCTGAGCTCAGCAGAAAGTCCATCCCTCCATCCCAGGAGTAGCAGGAGTGGGCAGTGGTACCCAGTCCATCTCTCCTGCCGCCCCCCCCCCCCCCCCCCCCCCCCCCCCCCCCCCCCCGTCTCCTCCAGTGCTCTCAGTGGGCAGTCTGTGAGTCAGAGGACAGAGAGAGCCAGTCCTGAGGGTTTAGTCTTTGGGGATCAGTGCCTGAGGCTCGGAGCGCATGGGCATGATGAAAGAGAGAACTAGCGCGGGAGTGCACGGCAAAGGAGGTGAGGCAGAATGAATGCAAATGTCTGTCTTCTGGAAACTTCCAGGTTATTAAGGGCAACCTGATCAGAGAGCTGTAACTGGAGGTTTCTCTCCTACCCACCAGTTTCCAAATAACCACTCTGAGGCTTAATATTAATTACAAACTGTTTGGCCTATTAGCTCAGGATTATTATTAACTAGCTCTTACTACTTAAATGAACCCATTTCTATTATTCTTTATTTTACCATAAGGCTTGTGGCTTGTTACCTCACATCTCATTTCCCTGAAGACTTATGGTAGGTATCTCCTCTGACTCTGCCTTTCTTCTTCTTATATCTCTTTGGATTTCCCGTTTAACTCTATTCTGCCTGGCTATTGGTCAAATCAGCTTCTTTATTAACCAATGGTAATAAGACATACTCACAGCATATAGAGAGACATCCCACATAATTTCCCCTTTTCTGTATAATTAAAAAAGGAAGGTTTTATCTTTAACATAGTAAAATAACAAAACAGTTACCAGGCAAGAATTACAGTTACAATATTTAGTCTATTTGTATTTGGCAAAGTTAAAGAAAATACTCTATTATCTATCCTATCTTTGTGAGTCTAAAGTTTTATATCTAATTTATCTATTATCATAACTATGGAAAACTATAGTTATAACTATCTAGTCTTCAACTCCATTGAAGACCCCCAGAAAGATATATTACGTAAGTAAACAGGAAGTACATTGCAAGAAACTTCCAAAACTCTAGAAATGCCTGGATAGTCACCCAGAGTTTGTCTGTAACATTGGGGCACCCATCTTCAGCCTACAGGCCTAGAATGTCTGGCAGACTTCTCAGTGACTCAGGAAATTTGAAACTGTCCCACCTATATTGGCAGTTTGTCAGTCATTTTCTTCTGTGTCCTGCAGAATGTCTGGCAGACTTTTCTATGAAGCAGGAACCCTGAAGGGCTGTCTCATCTTGTTTTGGCAAGTTTAGCAGTCACTTTCCTGTAGGTCCTGCATGTCTAGTTTATATTGCATACTGTCAAGCAAACCAGGCAAGCACAGTTTCTTGCCCAAATGGCTAGCCTTGTCACATTGAAAGCAAACTCCATGAGGAGCTCTTCGATGCTCATCATCCTCCTGAAGTAATTGGTGCTGCCAGGCGCAGATGTGTCGCACTGTCAAGAAAAGTCTACGTTCTTAAAACTTTTTTTTTTTTTTGAGACAGGGTTTCTCTGTTGCTTTGGAGCCTATCCTGGAACTAGCTCTTGTAGACCAGGCTGACCTCAAACTCACAGACTTAAAACATTTTAAATGTCATATTCTGTAGGCCTTTGAAATGAAAATTACTTATCCATCTGAACTATATATCTGTATATCTAGAAAAACTAACATGACTTTAAGTTTGACTATTATAGATGGCTATTAATTTGTATTTCTTAACTGTACATTACATTTTTAAATGAGCTGCATAAACATATTACCATAAGCAAGAATAGAAATATACATATAGTATAACAAAATTGACCTTAAATTTGTGTCAATAAACCAAAATCAATGCAAATGTATTTTGAGATTAATAATTGTCTTTTTATTCTATATTCCCCTAGATATAACAAACATCCATAACCTACCAAATAACCAAAGACCATCCATAGCCCCCAACTCTTGGGAATGTGGACATTGTTTTATTTGTTATCCTGCTGTCTGTAGGATGAAGTATCTTTAGGGTCCCAAGAAAATTTGAGATAATAGCCAAGTCCTGACTGGGGTATCTTGAGTGGTAGGTCCATCTCAGTCAGCAGCCTTGAAGCTG